CATACATATGAAGTAGCAAGCTTTCTATATGTATAAATTTGTTTGTAGAACTTTTAAATAAATTTTTTTTTTGTAGAAGCCTTTGAACTGTACAAAGTAGAATTTTGGAAATTTAAAAATTTATACAAACAATTTTTTACGTAGAAATAGAAAACTTGTTACTTCACATGCATGAGCGCCTGGTATTGGGAAATGAGAATATCGTTCTTTTCAAATAAAAACTGATCATAAAAAAAAAGACATTATATGTATGTGGATAAACCATGGACTGAATGATAAAAGCTGCTATCATTTGATGGTTGTTATGCTTGATTATTTCATGTTCTGCAGATTTTCCAATCTTTAAAAGAAAAAAGTTATAGATACTAATTTTCTTGGAACATTTTTCACTCAGTTTTCAAGCAACCAAAACTATAAATTTGTACGATATGTTCATGTGAATCAAGCTGCGTTTCATGCGTGGAGGAGTCCAAGCACAACCATTCATTCGTAGGACAGGGCTTAGCCCGCGTGGCCGCTGTGCATTGATACGCGACACTATGTCAATAGCGTTTTAAAGTTCATACACCTCATTATTCCATCATTTAAACTTACATACATATTTTTCTTAGTGTATAAAATTTGATTGGAACTGAATTAGAGAATGCACACATAGCAAAGTGTTCATTCATCTGGAAGCTAATTCAGTATTGAATTCTGTTTACTTCAGCATTCTCAGTTTTTCATTCAGGTATTTACTACCTTACTGTGTGAAATAAAATTTTTTTTTTAATGATTGTAGATTGAAAAAAATATAAGCCACACTACCAGACCAAAGGAAAATGAATGAAATACTACTTGTAAATATTTCATGATTAAAATTTTAAATGATTTCACAGTTTTACAGCTCTGCTACATACATACATATTTCACAAACAGGGATTTTTAACTAAATAAACTTTCGAGGATCGAGTGATATCTTTGTATTTATGTATCTATATGCGCATTAGGATGGCCGTTGATTTTCAAATGACGCGATGGTCGCACTATCTGCGTTAGTAAATATTTTCATGCATATGAAACAATAATTATTATAAAATTCCACGTCGATTGGGTAACGTTGAGGCGTAACTGTAACAAGTCAAGGTTCATCATGTTTCCATAGTTTAATACAGCTTAAAAATCTATTAGAGCCTCCATTTCCTAGGGAAAAATTGGTCGCTGTACATTTTTGTTTGCGTCATTTAGATTTTGAAATACAAAAAAATAGTTTTTGCAAAAATATAAAATTGGTCATTTGCGTATAAAAGATGTTTGATTACAAGTATTGCACCTAAAGTAATGAAAAATGGAGTATAAACTACAGAGTAAATTTAATAACCGTTAATTTTTTATATATCATATAGATTGATCTGTTAGCGGATTCTGCAGATGCATATTATCAGTTGAAACTTTGGCCTCTTTTTATTTTAGAAAACTGTTTTTTTTTGGCAATACATATCTCAAAACCTTCATAACGAAAAGAAAGAACCACAAAGAGAAGTTAGTGCATAAACAACACACGCCTTAGAGTTATCAATTTTGCCTCATTTCTTCAGAAATATTTAGCAGTCTAGTGGCTACGACGACCCAACAAAAATTAAAATTTTCTTCCAAAATTTTTTCCCAATAGTTACCGGCCATACTAATGTAAATACATACATACACACATATGTATGTTTATCACTAGAAATGCTTCTATATGTGTATAAGTGAAGTAACTGATAACAGCAATCCTTGAATATGGCAACTACATACATATCTCTTACCTGCTGTATGCATACATATGTACATACATATATGTAAGTAATGGACTTTGGCAAAATGAGACACAATAGAAATCTAGGACCTTTGAACGACAAAAAATGAACTTTTGCATTTTCGAGCACATTCCCTGAAGTTAAACTCTACTACTTAAGTCCCGACCACAGTTGGCGATAAGTAGAAAAATTTTACCGAATTCAATTCGAATACATTTGCAATAGCCAAAAAATCAAATTGCGCCATCTCATCGTACACCGTTGCCCGTGCCGCGCTGATGCAGCAGCAGCAGCAGCAGGAATCAACCGATTTGTTGACGCCAATAAATTTCAACCTGGCCGCCGCGCATCAGCACATGGTAATCGGTGGCAACAAAGTCATGGAATGGACCAACGACGATGCGTTAGAACTTATCGAACAGTATCGCATTCACACAGAATTGTGGAATCGTGCCGATCCAAAGTACAAAGACAAGTTATGCCGTTTTCGAGCGTGGTCGGAGATAGCGGATCGTTTTGGTTGTAGTAAGGCCGAGGTGGAGCGAAAGATGAACGTATTACTCACGCAATATCGACGGGAGAAGCATAAAATGCTTGTCAAACTATATCAGGGCATCCAGCCGAACCCATCCAAGTGGTACGCGTTCAAGAGATTTGATTTTATGGAAGCGGGCGGTGGTGCTGGTGGCGGAGGTGGCGGCGGTGGTGGATCATCGAGCAGATCGAGCACAAACGGCCATACAGCGGCTGCCGCGTCAACTCTTAACGGTCTTAGCACGTACGAAAACGCGACAGCAACGGCGGCCCAGCCATCGACAAGTGCAGCGGTTGCAGCAGCAGCGGCGGCAGTCGCAGGCGCGCCGGGCACTTCCCATCATCGGCGCATGAAGAAAGAGATGAAGTATTTCGGTGCGGTGAGTACCCTTCCAGTGACACATTGTATGCATGTATGTGTGTATGTATGTATGTATGTATGCTTGCGTGGTTATCAGCTTATCTGGTTAAAAATAATTTTTCTGCAGTGTATCTTGTTGTTGTGTTGTACAACAATAAAGTACACTACAGAAAAAATATTTTTAATCAGATAACCTGATAACCAAGCAAGCGTGAACAACCACCACAATGTTTACATTAGAGTAGCTCAAAAAAACACTAGCGGTATTCACCGAATTGAGCTGATCTGCTCTGTTGCCAGACTGCCAGGCCACATTTGCTACATTTGGTGAATACCACTACTATTTTTGCAATTTCATAAGCGCTACATCAAAATAGTGTTTTATTTGTGATAAAAGAGAGACACATATTTTTTTAGTGTGAAACACAAAAAAAAATCCGCTGGTGTTCTCAATTTTTATTATCGAGTAACTACTATTTTCGAATCGAATTTAAGAAATGGCAGCTGTTTTCTCCAAGTTAAATGGGCGATGCACACCAGCTATCGAATGCCGTGATCTCAAATCAAATTTCGATTCGAGTTACGTTCCATATCGAATGCTGCAATTCAGGCCCAGGTATTATTGGGGAATATTCCATTGATTACATATCTGTCCTAAACCGTTAAAATGTTCCTAGTGCCCGAAAATATGCTTTCGAAAAGAGATGTCTAAAATTAAAAAGTTGATACTAGACGCTTTAAGCATTGGCATGGGTTAAATAAAGCTCGTTACCAGGGGTCGTATCTGGTGTCGCTGATCACGCATCTGATATCAGTTTTTCAAATTTCAAAATGGTGGACCCAAATGGCGAACAACTTAGAAAAAAAAAATTATTGGATTTGTTTGAAACTCGGATCCGCTATTTTGAATTTTGAAAATCTGGCATCAGATTCGTAATCAGGGAAAATAAAAAAATTTACAACATTATTTACAACCGACCATAGCGAGCTCTTAAAAATCTTTTTTTAAATTAAAATAATACGTTTCTCTTTTTTTATCACAAATAACAAAAATTGGAGGTACCGTTTATGAATTTAAAAATAAAATTTTTTCGAACCACTATAGTGTGCATAGTAAATAGTTATGTGCAAAAATAGAATAAAAGCTTTTAAACAAAACATTAAATCGGTGAAAAAGAAAGAAACTCAAAATCGAAAAATACAAAAGAACAATTACTCTAACTAAACTCCTACACTAGTGTATGTACACATCGCACGCTTAAAAATATATAGAATTATTTCAAAATTAATTAATTAATTAATTAATTTTGTGGGAAAACGCAATCAAAATTTGTCCAGTTTAGACAATTGGTATATCAAAAGACAGATGGAAAGATTTCGCACGTTTAATAATGTATCGATGTAGGTAATCCAAAATTTACGATTTTGAAGATTTCGTCATACAAATAATAAGCTTGATAAAGAGAATAAGTTGTTCGTAAAAGATGACATAAACTTCCCAAAAATAGCGAATATATGGGTATTTCAAACTTGGCGTTACGTGACGCTCGTATGGCAAAATCAGTGTTGCCAGAGAAAGTTTTCGTTTGGAGCTAAAACGGTCGAAAAAAAGAGCTAAAAAGAGCTAAATAATACTAATACTAGCTAAAATGAAGAGCTACATATTTTTTTTAAGGTTGAGCACTTATTGACGTAAGGTTGTTTTAACATTTTCGGCAATTCCAAAAAAAAAAACGAATTTTATAAGTTTAAGTGCTGAAAAAATTTTTAAAACCAAAATAAGATGTATATATTTCGAATTCGTTGCTATGGCACTTATATCATTGAACTAATAATACTTTACACACTAGTAAAGTCTGTAATTTCAGATATTTGAATTGAATAATTTTTTCGCAAAATTTTTCTGGAAAGTTTTACTTCCAGCTCTCTTTAAATGTAAAATTAATAAGGTAAAACAAAATCCGCGCTATCTGAAAAAGGATTAACCTAGATACAAGAGTTTATGATGGATACACTGCATCTCGAAATTTGAAAAATATCTCGACCCTGGCGCCACACAACGAAACCAGAAAAAATGTGTCTGCTTACATAACCAGTATACATTTATTATAAATAGCAGCCAAATCGGCCTATAAATAAGTTAGATATATCGTATATACGCATGGCACGACTTCGGTTCAGAATCGTTAACCCACGCTGACCGGTTGTGGCTACTTTTTCTCGACTAGGCTACGTTTATGGCCTAGCGATTTCGCAACGCGCGATGAGATCAAAATCGCTACCAGCTATCAATTACACAAATTGTTATGTCAGTATAAATAATCGCTGCACCAGAAACACCACTAAAAAAAAAAAAAAAAAAAAAAAATTAAATTAAAATTGTATAATTTTAATCTCATCGGGCGACGCGAAACCGCTAGGTCATAAACCTAGCCTTATATTCAAAAGCACTACGTTTCGCTCAAAAATATGTATTTTAATTAGCAACACTGTTTGTACGAGTATTTTGGTCGCTGGCAATGGTGTTTTTATTATATTCCCTTATTTTCTCAAAGTTATTTTTATTACCATTTCGGTTGTTCCAACTTTTGTTGTATTTTCTTATTATTCTTACATGCCATTGTTTATATTTCAGTTGTCACAGAGTAACTGCTTTTCTTTCGGCATCGGCATCGACAGTGACTGTAAACTCGAAAACAAAAACATTGCAAACCAGTAAACAACACAAAAAAAAAAAAATAAGCTGCAGAAAAACACAGCAACTAAAAAACAGCAACCGACCTGTTATACATACATAAATATGTATGTATGTATTTATATAAGTACATTAGACTAGGTCGGCGGTCACCACATAAAAGATACAAGTGGATTGAGTGGATTTCAGCATAGTAAATATTATTTTTGTCCTGGTCCCGTTTTAAAAAACCAACCAAAAGTTATTTCATAACTCTTTTATTTATGACTCGATTCGAAATAATGTAGGTACATCACTGAAAACGTATTTGGGATAACTCTTTTATTTATGTCTTGGGACTTGTAACTAACCGCCCAATTCTGAGTTTTCTTGATAAATTATTTGTAAAGCAATTGTATCAAGATTTTTATCATTTTATATGGCGAAGATAAAGGAAGAAAGATTCAAATAAAGGTAATTATAAAGAAAATTATATAGTTACAGATTTGATATGTTTCTTCTACGCACTTCTACGGTACCCTACGTACACGTTCGTGAATAACCGCGCTCTAACACTTATTTTTCCTCTTCCAGTGATAAGTGTCCGTGTCCAACAGCAACGGAAAAATATATGCGAATAACCCTTTCCCACCGAGAGGAGCACACATCTACAAATAACAAAACACCTGTTCTGTTTGGTAGGTTATTTTTTATCTTAAATAGTGATAGTTATTTTGGGACACTTTCAAAGTGGAGAGGGATATTTTCGACCTCTCGTGCAAACTCGTATACTGCAGTGTGTTTTACTATTGGCAGCGAACTTTCTTCCGACGAATTTCTCTGAGCGATTTGATTCTGTTTATAATTTAAAAGAAATTTTCGAGCATACTTTATTTTGAATGAGTTTGAAATGCGGATATACATACTACATACATACACTGCCGGAACAAAGTATTGGCACAGCAAATTTTTCACATTACATGCAACAATTTTCATTCTAATATTTTTCCGCTAATTTCTTATAAAAATAGAGTTCATTCTACAACAAAAAACATAAGAATATAATTCCTAAACTTTGTGCAAAACTCACGAAAATTCCGAAAATTTTTATGAAAATTTTCAACTTTTTAATCAGATTTTTTTTGAGTATGCAGATTTGTAGCCCAATTAAGTTTAATACCTCGTATCTGCCAAATCCCACGAATAAGGTGGAAAAGAAAAAAAATAATATTTTGGTTACCCTGTCTCAATGAATCCCTTCTTCACAAATTTAATACTGCATAATTATTATTATACTATAATTATAGTAGAAGCTCATATTAGGAAACCATTCCAAAGTTTTGAAGAAAATAAGTTTCTTCGCTCTTTTTTTGGAATTTTCGGACTATCGGTATTCGGACGTGGTATTGCATTTGCTGTATTCGGTGTATTGGTGCATATCTTTGCTTATTTTTTTAAATATAAATAGCCGAGCTACACTAATCTAGGTTTGATTCGGACATTCTGTAATTATTTATGTACATATTTACTTTCTTATGATATGATAGCAAGATTTACCACTTAAAAGAGTGCACAGAATGCGAAAAGGGTTTAAAAATTTACAGGACCTTTGTTTATCGGTTACAAAATGTTTGCTACCAGCGAAGAATAGACCTGAATAGCTTAGTAGTATCCAGCTCTCAAGAAAGGCAAAAAGTACAGAGTTCTTTAGAGACATGAGTTGGTCCGATACTGCATTACAGAGGAGCATTTTGTAAGTACGCCAATAAGGCGCAAATGGACCACATGGTCCAATGATTTTTGCAGGGCAGTGTTTCTCACCTAAAAAGCACACGTTTATTTAATTACAATATGTATTCACAATGTGGAAAAAGCAACAAAAGTTTATAAGGCGAACTTAGCACAGTGTGTAGACCACTGGGGTCGTTGGATCGAATCCCAGCGAAGAAGTCTGATGAGGAGATGTGGTGATCTCCGAAATGGCAGCTATAACTTCTACCATTTATAAACTATTGTTGTTTTTCCGCAATAATTTTCGAATAAACGGCCTCAAAATTGTTTAATAAACCATATATGTCCAAGTTCAAAACCTTATGTACAGTTCAGAAAAATTAGTTCAAATTTCAAAAAAAAAATGCATCAAAACTTTTAACTTTTTCAGTTTTTATAGAAATTTACCGCCCGATTCTGTGTTTTCTTGATAAATTTTTTTGTAAAGAAATTTTATGAAGATTTTTATCAAGTAAACGCTTCCCTTGAATTCTGTATCAATATTTATAAAACAAAAATCTCTACGATTTCTACATTAGTGGAACTGATTTCCACATGAGTGGAACTGATTTCAT